GCTTCACCGCTGGGGCTCAGGCTCCGCGGCCTGCCGGGGGCGGGGCTGAGCCTTGCCTCTGCTTAACTCCTTGGAGCCCGGCCCCCAGGCGGCGGCCACGCCCCCTCAGGTGGGCACCCCCAGCTGTTGGCAGTGACGCCCTAGGAGAGTGGGTCTGGGGCATCAGGGTCAAGTAAATAAATTCAGGCCCGAGCTGAAGAACTGAAGGGAGTTAAGGGCTGATTGTGCTGACTGTGCAGGTCAAATGCCTTTTAGCTGCCCAGGGAGCCCTTTCTCCCCTCCCACCCTCAGGTCACTGTCAGTTGAGGGCCGAGCTCGGGAAGCCGCCTGATTCCTGGGCTCCATGGACGAGCAGGGCAGAATATGAGCCCCCACATGGCCAACCAAAATCTAAGAGCCCAGCAACCTGCCCATCTTCCTGGCCTCCTCCCTGGCGCACCCTGCCCATTCCCTGCGTCTCCACCCTACACCTTAAACCTCTGGACTCCCTGAAACTTTCTCCCTTCTCGGGCGGCAGTGAAGGCCCAGGACTGTAGTGAGGCCTTGTCCAGCCCATCCCTAGTGTGGCCCTAACTCCTCCTCACTCCATCCCACTTCCCTCGAATAAAGTTCAAATTCCAGAGCCTCCGCCTAGTGACACACAGCCTGGACCTTCTTACTATTTCGTCCAAATGACCCCTTTTCTCAAAAGAGATGTCTCCACCAGTAGGGAAGCCCCTCCTTCCGCGAGATCCTACCCCTTGGCCAAACTCCGCCCCTCAAGGGGCCCTTCCCCTCGAAGGCCCCTCTCTTCCTCAACGAGACTCCTCCCCTTCAGAGGGACCTTAGTATCACTCTGCTAACGCCAGAGTGTACCAGAAGCTCTCAGTGCGACATCCCTCCCAAGCAGTGAGGCCCCACCTGTCAGAGTGACTCCACCGGTCATTGTGACCCCTCCTCTCAACGTGACTCCTCCCCTCAAGTGTGGCCCAGCCCTAATCCGTGTGACCCCTCTCAGCAGGTTCCGTCTCCCTCACGCAGGAATCCCCTCTGCTCCCTCAGGTCGGAGGAGGAGCTGCTGCTGGCGTCTAACCCGGCGCGAAGCCCTTGATGCGCACGCACCATTTCTGGACCCTGTGCCCTCGCCGCTTCCGGTTCTTTTCTGGCTCCTTCGGCGAAGTAGCCAATCACGGCCAGGGACGGGAGACGCGGCTCGATACCGGCGGCGGCTCC